TAAACCCCAAACCCTATACTAAACCCCAAACCCTATACTAAACCCCAAACCCTATACTAAACCCCAAACCCTATACTAAACCCCAAACCCTATACTAAACCCCAAACCCTATAGGAGGGTCGTCTAAGTTTCGCACTGTCGCCAGCCAGCTTCAAATCGACGCCGATTCGGGCGGCAAAAGCCATCTCTAGCCTCGAGTCCGCTTTGCGGCTTAAAAGCTTAGGAGTTAGGATTCAGGGTACAGGGGTTAGGGTTTAGGGTTTAGGGTTTAGGGTATAGGGGTTAGGGTGTAGGTTTTTGGGTTTAGGGTCGGAAAGTTGCTTCTGTTAGTTTGGAAGCCACTCTTCTCAGCCCGGAGAATCCCCACCCTTGCTAGAAAGTGCTCTTTTGAATTGCAGAGTAGAGGTTTTAGGTTTTAGAGGGGGTGGTTTTGTGATTGTGATTTCAGTCTGAGGTATGGTATGTGCGGTTGTTTTGGATTTGGGGTTTGGGATTGGGGCCCGTGCTCTCGAACCTGAGCCCTACCCAAGACTTGGCCGAGAGACACTGCCACCAGCAGGCCACCATCCGAGCGGTCGTGGCCTGCGACCAAGCAGCAGATGTGAGGTGAACAGCCAGCCCCAATAATAATAATAACAATAATCATAATCATAATAATAATAATAGTAATAGTAATAAGAACCTAAACCTGTAAACCTTAAACCCAGAACTCTGCACCGCTCCGTTGCGAAAAGCAGCGAAACCGTGCATATTAAGCATGCAATCCAAAGAGATAACTACGGACAAGGCTCGGAGCAAAATCTGCTTCGCTGTCGGGCTTGGTTGCTCAGGCTCAGAGGCACTACAACTGCAACATGCCTGCTGAAATAAGAGACCTCGCGCACGAAACAAATCACAGGCTTCCCTGTAGTGCCCACATAACCCCTCAACCTCTCGAAACCCTAAACCCTCAACCCCTCGAAACCCTAAACCCTAAACACTCAAGCCCCGAAACCCCAAACCCCACGCGCGCCTGCGCAAATGAGACCTCCTGACAGCAGCCTCTGGGTGGCGTTGAAGGCAGCCTGGCACCCAAAACCCTAAGGGCCTTCATAATCAGAATAGGGCTCCCTTTAAAGGGGCCTGTACGGGCTGCTATAAGGGATACTATAAGGGTACTATATGGTACTATGATATAGGGGCCTTAATAACTAGAATAGGGTTTGGGGGCCCATTATACTATTAATATAATAAGGAACCCCCAAAATGGCATAAGTAATTATTAAGGCCCCTATATTAAACCCTAAACCGTAAACCCTAAGCCCTGACCCTAAACCCAAGCCTTAAGCCCTAAACCATAGGCCTAAGCCCTACACCCTAAACCGGTGTTCGCAAAGGTTTACCGAGGAGATCCAGCTCCGGTTTAGGCTTGTCAGGGTGTAGGGTTTATGGTTCAGGGTTTCGGGTTGAAGGTTTAGGGTTCAGGGTTTCGGTTCAGGGTTTCGGGTTTAAGGTTTAGGGTTCAGGGTTTCGGGTTTAAGGTTTAGGGTTCCGGGTTTCGGGTTTAAGGTTTAGGGTTCAGGGTTTCGGGTTTAAGGTTTAGAGTTTAGGGTTTAGGGCTCCGCCTTGGGTCTAGAGGGTCTAAGGAGCAATTGGGCACTTACAGTGTGTCATGTAGGGGCCTTAATGATTAGAATAGGGTCTGGGGGGTTCCTTACTCTAATTCTAGTATAATATACCCCCACACCCCATTCCAATCAGTAAGGCCTCTACAGAGTCTTTATGACGGTTCATTCCAAGCGGAAGTCTGACTTTCAACAACTCTCAGTGACGCAAGACCTTCTATCCTTCACCCCATAAGCTGAGCTTAGATTTATAGCCACATTTACAACTAGAACCTTGCTTATCATGATCATGTCAAGGGTATAAATCGACTTCCTAACCCCTTGCCCAGAGTCAGTTCATGGCAAACTTGGTTTCCAGGCTTCAAGGCATGCACAGGGTTCGGGCAACGCCAAGGTTTGGACGGCAGCAATTCTGCAAAGCTTCTGCTAACACCGGGGCTTAAAGTGTAGGGCGTTTGGGGTTTGGTAGCATCCGAGTCATGTGTGCAGCTGTTAAGGTTTAAGTTGGGGATCTAGGATCCAGGGAAGCAAAGTTGAAGCTGTGCTGCGGTCTGCGTGAGGTCCACACGAAGCCACTTTTTGTGCCAGCCATGCGCTGAGCTTAAGAGCCGGGTTACGCGTGAGCCGGGCTGCCAGAGCTGGATAACGTGGAGGCCTTAAGATACTAGAAAAATACTTGTACTATACTATAATACACGATAATATAATATATTTATACTATACTATACCATAATGTACTATAATATAACGATAATCTAACTCAGTATGTAGGCTACGGTTTTCAGGTGCTTCACACGAACATTCGAAGAGGAACTCCTGAGCAATAGCAACGCCAACTAGTACTAGCCCTACATTAAGCGCACACCCTAATTTTCTAAGCTTCGAGGCTATAGTTGTGGAGCTTTCTCGTCCTCAGTGGACCGGTTTGCAGGGTTAGGGTCTACTACCGCAAGGGCCCCACACGGCACTATCATGTACAGCCACCACGGAGGACATCATCGATAAGCTCGGGCTGTTCTTGGAGGCCCTATCAAGACTGTTATCATCTTACTTGTCCAGTATCCTCGGGAACTAAAGGTTAACGGTTAACCTTTGGGATATATACGTAGCGATTCTAGTACCCCAAAACGGGGAAAGGTTATCCGGTACCTACTCTACTACTAAGTCTTCGGTTAAGCTAAGAGCATACAACAACTCACAATTGTCTGTCATCTACGGGCAAGCTGGGCATTCCCGGGCAACGTTGCGGTCTAGTGGCTAAGGGCGAGTTGCGGCAAGTAGGTTACAGTGCAGGCTTCGGGGTTTAGGGTTTGGGGTGTAGTTTTTAGGGATCAAGTAGATAATAAACAAGGCGGTCGAAACGAACACGACGCCAAACAAAAATTCCATGACCCCTCGCTAAGTGTGGTACTGTATCCTGGAGGAACTAAAGGGTTAACCTTTGGGATTTCATAGGGATATAGTACTAAAAAAAGTTAAACATCACCTACATTACTAAAGTTCCCGTCTCTGGCAGGCAGATTCACGCGGACAAGAGTCCAGAGACCTAAGATTCCCGGGAGGACGTTTCTGAGGAGCATGCCCTTAGGCTCTAAGACGGTTTAGGGTTTAGGGTTTAGGGTTTAGGGTTTAGGGTTTAGGGTAAGGACTTATATTTTAAGGCGTTTGGGCCCAAGGACCATACTGTATAAGGCTTTTGGGCCATTTTGAGCCTTAGGGATAGGAGCATCAAGAACTCGACTGGGGGTTTGGGGTACACCAGTGTACCGTATAGCTTGAACAAGGAGTCCCACTGCTAAGCCCTAAACCTTGAACCCTAAGGCAGAGTATCACTGATTCTTAAAGCGTCGATAGTGTCAAGGGCTTCGGCTTCAGCGTTAGACTTTCTGGGTTTAGAGTTTAGGGTGAACCTGCGGAAGAGGATCTACGATGTAAGGGTCCTTTTTCTGCTACTCCATGCAAGAATGCACCAACACCCTACGTCCCTCCGGGGACAGCTAGACCTTCTGGCAAGCACTGGGGCCATATGCGAGGGCAGGAACTGGTCGACTTCAAGCACGTCAAGCTCCGCTTCGGAGTTGAGTGTTAACGGCTTTATGTAGGGTTTGGTGGTTAGGGTTTAGGGTTTAGGTATGAAGGTTCTACCAGGGTTCTGTAAGGCTGTTATAAGGGCTCGGGTTCTACACGGGGTGTTGTGACGGTTCTGTAGGGGCTCACGAGCTCAAACTTGTTCGGGGCTAGAGGTTTACTGTCAGGAGTTGCTCAAGCACTTTGGAGGGATTTATGGGAAGGGAGAGCATGAGAGGTTGAGTGTCGGCATGTGGTTTCGATTGTCAGAAGCTCGAGTGAAGACAGGGTCCAGCCAGGCTTGCGGGTTTAGGGCTCAGAGTCTGGTGTCTTTGCAGAAGGGACATGGGATGAGCCGGGCATTCGAGAAATCCTTAGTCCTTCAGTTCATGTGGCCTGGTGTTCTTTTCATAGCTCCGCGTGGAAAACGAACAGCCCGCAAATCTGACCTCGAAACCCTCAACCCTCACGTATCCTAAGCTCCAAAACCCTAAACCCTATACCCCAAACCCTGAACTCTTAACCCCGAAACCCGATGAGATTTGTCGCCTCGCACACGAAGCCTCAGCGGGGCCTGCATCGATTTGTACATGGCGATTTCGCCGCGAGATCAACAAAACGTGGGGCAGAGGAAGGACGTAAGCCTTAGCGCCTTTAGAACCATACTCACACCCATATGTATAGTAATCCCGTGGAGCTTTGTCAGAAAATAAAAAAACAGTTCCTAAGAGCAGAAAAGTAAGGGCTCTAACAAAGGACGCCACGGTCTCAGAGTTCTGGGTTTAGGGTCTTCACCTATAACTTAAATTCTTTCAAGGGTTCCTTTGAAGGGTCCCTTTAGGGTCATTTAAGGGTCCCATTAACTTTACGGGTTCAAGGGCTACTAATCTCAAACTTCATAACTAGCTTCTACATGCTAGAACCCATGAACCCAAACCTAAACCATAAAGCCCGAGACCCAAAAGCCTAAGTTTAAACCTTATGAACCCTGAAGCCATAAACTAATAAGCCCCCAACAACCGAAACCCTTACATCCATACACTGCACGAACACTGCCCTAAACCCCACAACCGTTGTTGTTGTTGTTACAAAAAACAGAATAGAAAACTGTTATGGCAACCCGTCTGGTACCCCTGAAAGCAATCCTCATAGACAAAAAAGGCTTGCGTAACTTCTTTCACAGCAACTCTTATGCCAACCATTTATGAAACCCTGAGAGCTATAATAAAAATACGATGCTTAAGATATTCTTGGGTTTTATATGAGACTATAGTAAACCCCTGAGCCAACGAACGGGGAGGGTCGACCCCCAGTCCCTTCCTCCACAGCTTAACTTCGCGAGAAGCGTCTGGAGACCTGAAGAAGGGTGTCCGGGCCGTATCGCATGCGCGGGCTTAGAGTCTCGGAGGCTTCTAGGAGTTGAATAGATAGTATAAGTGAAAGTATACATATGTAAAGCTGTACAGGTATATGAACATGTGCTATTAGTGCTTAAACTATTTGTATTTATATGTGTATATATATATTTACACACATATGTGTATGCATACATATACACAGGAATATGCATGCGTATATATATATATATATATATATATATGTATGTATATGATGTTGCATTGCACTATGGTTTAGGACTCGTATTGGGGGGCTCATGGCTTCGAATATAACGAAATTTATGATATTATGTAGATTTCTAATAAGATGACTACGGCGTAACACGATACAACATAATACAGCATAGTATACAATGATATGACGGAATATACAAATCTGATATGCTATGATATGATATGATATGATATGATAGGATAGGATAGGATAGGATAGGATATGATATGATATGATATGATATACTATGGAAAAAATAACAGGCTTTACCATACTATGCTATATTATAATATATGGACTTTGATATAATACAAACTAATACAATACAGTTACAATACAGTGCAATCCAATGCAATACAATAAAATATGCCGGCTTCCTGGTACGGGGTTGGGCAGCCTCTCTGTTTGATGGGTTAGACATTCGAGCTCCATGATGTAGGAAACAGCATGTAGCACTTCAGGTTCAGGAAACAGAGTCTGGAGTTGAGGAGAGAGGGTTTAGGCTTTAGGGCTTGCCTCTCGCAATGCCACCACGCCACTAAGCAAGCTAGCGCTTCCTCCCCGGCCACGTTTTTGGTTCAGGGCTTAGGGTTTAGGGTTTAAGGTCTCTCCAGTCAGGTGTTTAAAGCAAGTAGATCTTGTACAGAAGCGATTGAAGGCTCGTCTCGCGTTCTTTTACATTCTCCTCACAAAAACCCATGTTGTTCAATCAAAGACCGGGACCTGAAAACCTAAAACTCTCTGAAGCAACACCAAGCCCTGAAACCGAAAAAAAACCTCAAAGCCGCCCTGGACTCCTACTAAACTCCTAAAGGCCTACAGAAGCCGGATAGGACCTCCTAAAAACCCTTACGAGGAGCCCGAAAGCCCCTGAAACCCAAACCATCGCTCCGGGTGCAGGGCCCAAGACGCCGCTGGTCCCAAAAGGGAGCTGGCACCTGGCTTTGCGTCGAAGGTGCTCAGGGTGTTGGGGGTTTCCAAGGGTAAAAGGAGGGACCCTTCATGGGGACCCCTACCCTATAGTGGGGCTATATAATGGGTATATAATAGCTATATTAGGGGTATATACCTAGGGGTCCTTATTAAGGGTCCCTCCTTTTACCCTTGGAGGGCTTCAGGCTCTAGGGTGTTAGGGTTAAGGTTTCGGGGTGGCTAGGGGTTTCAAGGCGTTTAAGGCTTTGGGGCTTTTCGGGTTTAGGGTTCCTGGGTCTGGGCCTTTTGTGAGTCTAGGGTTCATTGCTTAGGGACTTCAGGCTTGGAGTTTTAGAGTCAGGGAGCGGTTAGATGCTCCGAAGTGTTCTGTCGAGAGCTCTAACTCCGGTGTAGGTGGGCCTCGGGCTCGAGGGGTGTTAAACTTCGGCTCGGGGGTTTCGAATGGAGGGGATTTGGGGTTTGGGTGTGTAGGCCTGCGGGTTTAGGATTTTGGTGTTTGGGTGCAAGGTGGACCTGTCTTCCGCATTCTATGATCATCGTTTGAGCTTTCAGTACTTCTGACGTGACTCTAGGGTTTAGGATCCATGCCGCATGTTTTGCATGATCAACCAGCGCTCGTGCGACTCGTGCGAATGTTGCAAGGCAACATGGCTTGATCGTTGCGATGAAGTGTCTTGAAGCCCAAAACCCTAAAAGCCAAACCTCTGCACTATGCAGCCTAAACTTCAAGTTTCGATGTCCTAAATTCAAAAGCCTAACCCCGAAACCCTAAATCCCGAAACCCTCCACCCTAAACTCGAATCCCTAAACCCTGAAACCCTAAGACCCTAAACCCTAACTAAACACTACTTGGAGGTTCATGGGTAGCTATAAGTGGGGTGAAAGGTATTGTAACCCATATTAAGGGACTTACAACTCCATAGAACTACCCAGGAACCTTCAAGTACTGCGAAAGAGATCAAGCCCCGACACCTTCTTGCTGTGACTCATCAGCTCGGAACCCGAGCCGTTCTCTTCGAAAAGAGAGGGAATGCATGTTGTCAGTGTGTGGGTGTGTATACACATGTATGTATGTATGTCTGTATGTATGTAACCCTAAACCCTAAACCCTAAACCCTAAACCCCTAAACCCTAAACCCCTAAACTACCCTAAAACCTAGACCCTAAACTCTAAATTGTATACATGTGTATATGCACATACAGTACACATGAAGTTTGGGGGGTTGGAGCTTATGGCCGCTAAAAGCACGTCCCGCTAAATGCGAGCTGTCCGCAGCACCGCTATTTCGAGACAACATCTGAACATGCTGGTTTAGGGTTTAGGGTTGAGGGGTTTAGGTATTTAGGGTTTAGGGTTTAGGGTTGGGGGCTTTAGGTATTTAGGGTTGAGGGGTTTAGGGTTTAGGGTTGGGGGATCACGAATTCATGGGCCTAAGCCTGACATCCTGCGACAAGACACCCCTAAACCCTAAAGCCTGAACCCTAAACCCTAAAGACCACACCTTGTCCAGCCCGGATGGCGCCCTTGGCGACTGTAGAGCTGACCTGCGCTCATGGACCAGCTTTGCGAGCTTCCGAAAATCAGGGGGTACCTCAGGATTCCTTTAAGGGGCTATTATATGGGTACTGTAAGGCTTCCTTTAAGGGGCTCTACAAGGGTTTAGAGTTTCCGAAAATTGGGGCCACCTTATTTTGGGTTACTATAAGGGTTCCTTCAAAGGGCTACTACAAGGGTTTAGGGTTTACCGTCTCCGAAAACTAGGGGGTACCTTATTTTGGGGTCCTTATAATAAGGATCCTACTACATATTTAGGATACTATCTCAGGGTCTCCTGTTTCGGAAACTCCCATTTGGGAATGAGTGTTTGGGATTGGGGGGCGTAGGCCAAACTCTGCAGATTCAGCACTTAGCGACACGTTGGAACTGAGGGCTTACAGTTGAGGGCTTTCCTGGCAATGTAGCCCCACGGCTATGCAGAACATGTCTTGAACCGGTTGGCGACGGCAGAAAATACTCACGCACTTCTGCGCTGGACCCGGGAATATCTCAGCAAGGTACCTGCAAAAGCTCGCAAAAGTAAGTCCGTATCGATGTCGGCACCAACAGCTTTTGTTTCGCAAGCACCCGGCCCCACAGCATCAATCGGCCACTGTCACTGCCACACGGCCATGTCTATGCCGAAACCAAAGCCTCCTGTTGCCGTTTCCTTGCACAACGCATTCTTCGGACTCGCGATGCTTCCCACACTGTGAGCATGCGTCATCACCTTTCGGTTTACGTCCTTCCCCCCTGCCTTTCCCCTTTGCTGCTAACCCCTGTCAGGTTGCAGCAGACCAAGCGCCTAGAGCATGCGTAAGCACGCGTTCCCGCACACAAATTTTCAATTTCTCAGGGAGCTAACCACGCAGCAAGTAAACCCCAAACTTCCCAAACCCCCACAGTTGCCCAAACCCGGCAACCCTAAACCTAAAGCTATGCTAAAGCCTAAGCCCTAAACCCTTACCCTGAATCTCTACACGTTGAACCCCAATCCCAAAACCCTAATCCCGCACCCCAAACCCACAACCCTCTCTCGTGTTAGAGGGGTTCTCATGTCAAGCCCGGCACAGGTGTCAGGCCCTTACACCAAAAAGTCCCGGCCGTGACTCCTGTGCCGGGCCGGACCCAACCTTGCAGCTTCGGTTTAGGCTTTAGGTTCAGGGTTTAGGGTTTCGCAGACCCTGGCATTCCCTCCCAGGCCCACACATCTAGCCGTAATACCTCAAAGCGAAATCGATCCGAGAAAAACGGAAAACCTGAACCGTAGAAGCAAGACCCTTGAACATAAAACAACGAAGACCTATTTTCACACGCAAGTACAGGTAATCGCAACGAGAGGCGCGCGAACATGGCCTAGCCACATGGGAGTATACGAAAAATTCGTATTTCAGTACCCTATATAGGAGGATGCTTCTTATAATCCCCAAAATATGGTACCCCTAATTTTCGGAAACTTTAAAAACCCTTATAGATCCCTTTAAGGACCTCAAAGTTAGAAGGAGCGCAAAGATCGCCGCCTGGTGTCTCTCGTCCAGGTCCCTCAGCGCCACTGCCGAGCTCACTGCTGCAGCCTTGGGGTCGGCTATGGGGCTTTCACATGGGCTGCCAGGATTTACCCCTAGGCCCCATAGTAGGTCCTTTTTGGGATTGCCTTAGAGGAGTCGATGGGGCCTATGGGTTTAGGGTTTAGGTTTCAAGTTTGAGGAGTTTCGGGGGCGTGCGAGAAGTTTCGGGGGCGTGCGGTGTTCAGCGACTGAGGGTTTAGGAGTTTAGGGCTAAGGGATTAGGGTTTAGGGGTTTAGGGTTTCGGGTTTTAAGGGTAAGGGCCTACGGCTTGCTGAAGGAGCACTTGACAGGCGTGGGGCAAAGGCTTGGAGGGTGGTTCCATGCTTTTGGAAGCAAGGTTACTGTAAGGGCTCCTTTAAGGGTCACAGAAGGGTAGCCTTAAGGTTACTATAGCAAGAGTAGCAAAAGGGAACACTAAACGGATCTAGCAGTTCGGGCTTTGGGGTGTTGGGCTGGGGGGTTACGGTTTGGATATCCAGGGCTGGTAACCTGCTTCATGAAAATCTTCGTCTTGCGGCATTGAATCCCGGCCGCATCGCTCCGTACATAGTCAGCTTGCTCTGAGAAAAAGCAATAAAGACCCGAACGATCTAGTCGTAGCCATACTATAAGGACTGCAAGCCTTTTCTGGGCTTTGACACCTCTCAATCCCCAAACCGTAGCCCTGTGTAGCAGTCACGAACAGCACCTGAACTTACACTGCTCTGTTTTAGAAACCCTGGTCAAAGCCCCTCAAACCGCCTCATACATCCCCCATAAAACCAACCGAAAGAAGCAACCTGAAACCACAATACATTCTCCAAAACCTACACATAATCTAGAAAATCATAACCCCCCCCCCCGTGCCTTGGACGCTTGGCGTCCATTTGACGCAATAGTGTTTTTCTTGTATAAATCCAAAAGTTGCCACCTTCCAAACCTTTGAGCGTGGCCTCCTGAATCCAGCTAGTAAAATAAAAGAGACGTGGGGAGGCAAAGCGCCGTGCTTCTGAATCCCGCCAGTACTTGAGCGAAAATATGTTTGGATGTGCCAGTACGTGGGAGAAAGCATTCTGGTCGCGTTCCCAAATCCGTGGAAAGCCATGCAGGCCGTGGTCCAAAACCCTTCAGGATTTTGGCAGGAGCCGAAGCTGAACGACTCCTGCCGGCAAAGCCTGCACGTCGCATTCACATTTTTTGGGTAGTTTTCTTCGTTTGCTAGGCTTCCTGTAGGGACCGAGTGCTGCTGCCGCAGTCGTTGAGACCCGCCCACACCAAAAAGCAACTACGTGCGAGCAGACGCTGGGTTGCATTTGTGAACAGGTCAGCATCACTAAATTCAAGAGTTCTGAGATGCGAAGCGCAGAAAATGTTGGCAGGGCCAGCAAACTTCGTGGAACCAAAATTGCACAATCGGTTTTGACTCATCCGGACTTCACAAGCTCATTCTGGGACGCCACTTCGACAGCTACGTTTTCAAGCCCCAAGTATTGTTTCAAGAAGTGGGCAGTGAGCCCTTACATGCAGCAGCGACGCTACTTTACATGTGGCTTCGCTGTAGTTGAGTTGCGCGATGGAACTCAGAATGCACGTCGTTCTTACTATGGTGACCTCGAAATTATAAAGCATACACATGTGCATACGTGTGGGCAAAATAGATGCAGTGAATTCTTACCGGTCTGAAATATAGGATCGCCCTGCTTATAAGTGGTTGGTGGGCTTACTAAGTGGATGATGGACTTATGTTGGACTTATAAAGGTGAAGACCAACTGACTTACCAGAGCACGGGCTGCCTGAGTTAAGGTCGACTTATTGCGGGGTTATTAAGTGGGATAGGGTGGATGCAAATATAAGGTATGAGTCACTTAGGGTTGCACTTATACATAAGTAGGGTAAGTAGGACTTACAGGACCTGCATAAGTAGGAGAAGGGCACACACGTAAGTAGGTTAAGTGCACTTACATAAGTAAGTTAAAATAAATCCATATCCGTAAGTAGGCTAAGTAGCTTGAATGGGCTCCAGAACAGTGCGCTGATCCTACTTATCGGACTTATAGCCATGCCGCCACGAATCCTATACTTATCGGACTTAGCCATGACGCGGCGGAACCCATTTAGCGGACTTAGCCGGTGACCCACTTAGCCTACTTACTCGGAGGCCACGTCGCTGGACTTATCTCCCACTTAGCACCCTACTGTACTTCTAACTGAGTTACAACTCAACACGACGTCGATCACAACTAAGTTACTAAGGTTGATTTATAAGCACCTCAAGTACAACATAAGTCCATGATCTGGTTATCGCAATTATAACTGAAATTTAAATACACTTTAATGTTTAAGCAGTTATAAATCAACAACAAAACATCAGCGGACTTATGGTCCACTGAAAGCATTTGGAGGTGTGGTTACTTAACTTATTCATGTTACTGGACTTCATTAGTTACTTAGTAACCAGGGCACAGATCATGCAATTGCTTTAATCTATACGCATTATAAACCATGCACGCCATTATGATTGGGCCATGGATGCTGTACACTCACAACACATCAAACATGCACGTCTATGTGAGGCTGGGTCATGCATGCTGTGAACGCATGCTAAAATTAGACATGCATGCTGTGAACGCATGCTAAAATTAGACTATGCGCATCAGAGCGTGTGCGTCATGCAACCAAAATGGATGGGCCATGGATACTGCATGCGCCCTCGAAGATCTCAGGGCCCTCCGCGCCCTCAGCGCTCTCCGCGCCCTCAGTGCCCGGTGCCCTCCGCGCCCTCATCGCTTTCAGCGCCTTCCCAGAGAGCCCAATATACCCCTTGAGAACCATGCAAATTAAGGCTCTCTGCATGGGTTCTGCACCGCCCTCCGCGCCCTGCACCTTCCGCACCCTGTATAGGCGCCCTCAACTCCCTCAGCGCCGTCAACGCCTCCGTGCCCTCAGCTCAGCACCCTCCGCGCCCTCAGCAACCCTCAACGCGCGGTCAGCGCCTCCACGCCCTCAGCGCCCTCCGCCCCTCAGCCCTCCGCGCCCTCCGTCCGCTCAGCGACCTCCACGCCCTCAGCGCCCTCCGCACCCTCAGCTCCGCGCCCTCAGCGCCCTCATGTGCCTCCGCGCACCTCAACGCGCTCTCCGCGCCCCTCAGCGCCTCGGCGCTCCACGCCCTCAGCGCCCTCCGCGCGCTCGCTCCGCGCCCTCCGCGCTCTCCCCGCCCTGAACCCTCTCGTCCTCGCCTCAGCGCGCCTCAGCCCCTCAGCGCCCTCCGCGCTCTCCCCTCCGCTCGCTCCGCGCCTCCGCGCCCTCAGCGCCCTCAGCGCCCTCCGCGCCCTGATCAGCGCGCTCGCTCCGCGCCTCAGCGCCCTCCGCGCCCTTCGCGCCCTCCGCGCCCTCACAACGCTCTGCGCGCCCTCCGTGCTCTCCGCGCCCTCCGCCCTCAGCGCGCTCGCTCCGCGTCCTCATGCAGCTGCGCACCCTCCGCGCCCTCAGCGCCCTCCGCGCCCTCCGCACCACGCACCCGGGCCCTCACAGCGCCCTCAGCGCGCTCTCCGCGCCCTCTCAGCGCGCTCCGCGCTCTCCGCGCCCTCAGCGCCTTCCGCGCTCTCCGCTCCGCCCTCAGCGCGCTCGCTCCGCGCTCTCCGCGCCCTCCGCGCTCTCCGCGCCCTCCGCCCTCAGCGCGCTCGCTCCGCGTCCGCATGCAGCTGCGCACCCTCCGCGCCCTCAGCGCCCTCCGCGCCCTCCGCACCCCGCACCCGGGCCCTCACAGCGCCCTCAGCTCGCTCTCCGCGCCCTCTCAGCGCGCTCCGCGCTCTCCGCGCCCTCCGCCCTCAGCGCGCTCGCTCCGCGCTCTCCGCGCCCTCCGCGCCCTCTTGCAGCGCGCTCGATCCTCGCCTCAGCGCCCTCATCCGCGCTCTCCACACCCTCAGCCCTCAGCGCGCTCGCTCCGCGCCCTCCGCGCCCTCAGCGAGCTCGCTCCGCGCCTCAGCGCCCTCAGCGCGCTCGCTCCGCGCCTCAGCGCCCTCCGCGCCCTCAGCGCCCTCAGCGCCGTCAGCGCCCTCAGCGCCCTCCGCGCTCTCCGCGCCCTCCGCGCCCTCAGCGCCCTCAGCGCGCTCGCTCCGCGCCTCCGCGCCTTTGCAGCGCCCTCAGCGCCCTCCGCGCCCTCAGCGCCCTCAGCGCCCTCCGCACTCTCCGTGCCCTCCGCGCCCTCAGCGCCCTCAGCGCGCTCGCTCCGCGTCCTCACATGCAGCTGCGCACCCTCTCCGCGCCCTCAGCGCCCTCACCGCCCTCCGCGCCCTCCGCACCCTCCGCGCCCTCTGCAGCGCGCTCGCTCCACGCCTCAGCGCCCTCAGCGCCCTCCGCGCCCTCAGCTCCCTCATGCGCCCTCCGCGCCCTCCGCGGGGCCCTCAGCGCCCTCAGCGCGCTCTCCGCGCCCTCAGCGCCCTCCACGCCCTCAGCGCAGTCAGCGCCCTCCGCGCCCTCAGCGACTCGCCTCCGCGCCTCAGCCCTCAGCGCGCTCGCTCCGCGCCTCAGCCCTCCGCGCCTCAGCGCCCTCAGCGCCCTCAGCGCTCTCCGCGCCCCTCCGCGCCTTCAGCGCTCCGCGCTCTCCGCGCCCTCAGCGCGCTCGCTCCGCGCCCTCAGCCCCCTCAGCGCCCTCCGCGCGCTCTCCACGCCCTCCGACCTCAGCGCGCTCGCTCCGCGCCTGCGCGCCCTCAGCGCCCTCCGCGCCCTCAGTGCTCTCAGCGGCAGTCAGCGCCCTCCGCGCCCTCAGTGCGCTCGCTCCGCGCCTCAGCCCCCTCAGCGCTCTCCGCGCCCTCAGCGCCCTCAGCGCCCTCAGCGCCCTCAGCGCCCTCAGCGCGCTCCGCGCCCTCCGCGCCCTCCGCGCCCTCCGCGCCCTCAGCGCCCTCAGCGCCCTCCGCGCTCTCCACGCCCTCCGCCCTCGCCCTCAGCGCTCTCTCTCTCCGCGCCCTCCCCGCGCCCTCCCGCGCCCTCCGCGCCCTCAGCGCGCTCAGCCCCTCCGCGCCCTCA